GAAGTTTGATGGAAACCTGCAGATTGCTGGAGATTAGAGAGTCCACAGAAAACTGTTTTGCAAATCTCTTCTCAACTGAGATGCTTAGGCATGAAAATAGCCTCTCAAACCCAGAATTCTCTATAAATAGATTAGTATACATGAAAATATTACTAATCTGATTGTGCATATTTGTTTTTGTGTGTGTTTTATAGTACTTGTGCTTTGTTTTCACTTAGGAGTTATGGAGTAATAAACTGAAAAGAGTCAGATTTTTGTACTGATGCACAACAAAATCTCACATATTGATATTTTAATACTTGATTTGTGGCTAGCACAACATGCAGTGTTATCTAGAATATTAATGTTTACTAAATTTAACACCAACTGCTACTGCTACCCTGAAATGTGCTTTGCAAAGAAAAGACTGCCTTTGTATATTCAGTCTTTTTTCCTAAATGTGAACTATTTGCAAGCTAAAGGAATGGTGCTAGGATATGCTATTTTAAAAGACATTCTGAAGTACTTTTAGTTAACACAAACTAGTGTTTTAATTACAGAGAATGCAATTTGCTTAAAATATTCAACTGAAAAGAAATTCTACTCTAAACAAGCTTCAAAAAGTTACGTTTTGTGTCAGGAGATAAATATTTAGTAGCCTGGTCTGACCTTTTGCAATCAGGATATTTTTGTTGTGGAGTTTTAGTCTCTGGCTGAAATTTACTTTCTTAGACCTAAACAGTCATCTCAGTAGAAGAGAAGGAGGTGAGACTTCCTCAGGCTGAGGCTTTTTTGAACTTTCTGTCATAGGTATGTGTTTAAAGTCTCTCAAAAGAAGTAGAAGGAAAATAACATTCTGTTGAGAGAAGGTGGTTTACTGTTTATTTTTAAATAGTCTAGGTATTTCTGGCTGCGTGTTGGGTGTTCGCATGACGTTTAGATGCGGGATTATTTTAAGTTCTTTCCTCATCCTTGTGAAGTTTTTTTCTGCTTGCGTATTTATAAGCCTTACATAGTGCGTACCCTTTCAGTGAGGACAAAGTGAGCAATTTATTTTGAGGACGGAAACAGGATTTTTTTTTGTTTTTTCTGCTTCTCATGCCAATCTGTCTGTTGTTGCCAAATGCACGCTTAATAGGTCATTCCAGCAGAAATCCTTGCATTAAGAAGCAAAGAGCAAATCCATGTTGGTGGTGTTATGCATTTAAACAATCATGGATTCATTTAGGTTGGAAAAGACCTTTAAGAGCATTGACTCCAACCATTAACCCAGCACTGCCAAGTCCAGCAGTGTCCTTAAGTGCCACATGCATGTGTCTTTTTAAAAGCCTCCAGGGTGGTGACTCAATCACTTTTCTGGACAGACTATTGCAATGCTTTGCAACCCTTTCTGTGAATAAACTTTTCCTAATATCCAATCTAAACATCCCCTGGCACAACTTGAGACCTTTACCTCTGGTCTGTCACTTGTTATGTAGGAGAAGAGACTGTCCTGCACCTGGCTTACACCTTCCTTTCAGGTGGTTGTGGACAGCAGTGAGATTCCCCGAGTCCTCTTGTTTCCAGGCTAAACACCCCCAGCTCTCTCACTCACTTCTCATAGGGCTTGTGCTCCTGATCCTTCACCAGCTCCATTTCCATCTCCACTTCCTCAATGTCTTTCTTGTGGTGAGGTGGACAAAACTAAACAGAGGACCTGAGGTGTGGCAGCATCAGTGCTGAGTACAGGGGGATGATCAGTGCCCTGGTCCTGCTGGCTACACTGCTTCTCTCTAAATTTTAGGTAGGCACCTTCATGCACACAGTGTCTTTCTGACCACTTTTTCCACTTCTATTCTTCCTTGTTCAGAAGTTGTACATGAATACAGCTTGCTGTGCTTTGTCTGATGTAGCTGTAGTGAAGAAGGAGGGTACAGTCCTTCTTTGGCAGCAGCTTCACACTTAGATTGGATTAAGTGTAATGTGAAACCATACCTGAAATAATTGGTTTTATGCTGCTAGAGGTTTTCATGGAGACATACAAGTTTGTTAAGGTGCATACATGCCTTCAAAAGGAAACAGTTTTAGTTGCAGCCAATGTTTTGAAATATGCGTGGTTTTTTCTTTGCTGGCCCACCTTTGAAACTGGTCATGTTTACATAAATCTGAAGCAAGGGCTACTTACTTAATAATGTGTCTTTTGATTCTTAATCTTGATTTCTCATCTGTGTATGCTGTAGCTACAGAGTAGTTTATTTCCTGCTTGCAGCTCACTCTCTATGCACTCTCAGGCACTGAAGTAGAAATCTGTGGGGCACATACATATCCATGCAAGGAGCAGTAGTTGCAAAAACCTAAAGGATCTTGCAGTCATAAAAGAGTGCTTTCGTTTACTAGTGTTCATAAATTGAATCAGTGATATTTACACCCTGTAACTGCTCATGGTTTTAATAAAAGATGAATATTTTATAAGGGAGCCTGGTTTTGTGGCACTGGTGAGGTCAAACTAAGCAGATGGAAGTCCCGCCATCTTCCACTCTGGTTTGAGAGGAGAAGCATCTTGGGCACATCTGACCATATAGCAACAAGTCTCCACAGCCTCCCTGGGGAAGCAGCAAAAGTTCATGGTTGTAAGTGGAGGGAAAACCTGGAATTTTCTCTGTCCTTGCTGAAATCAAGGGCCCCCGTGGGTGGTGAAGAGCCTGTGATGCTGCCAGGCCAGACTCCATGCCTCACGGGGATTTTTTGTCCCAGAAAAGAACGCTAGCAGACAGTGTACTTTCAAAGACAGAACCAAAAATACTTTTGGTTCCTTAATTCATTTCACATCTACACCAAACTTGCAAAAGTCATTCTCTAATCCTGTTTCAGTGCTCTGGGGACTGATGATAGGGATACTGCAAACTGGCATGGACGATTCTTGCTGCAAAGGGTTAATTTTGAACTGTACAACAGGCTTAACCTTTACTTCATGGGGTGAAGCAGTCAGTGATTGCTTATCACTGATCACATGAGATTTGAGGAGGTACAGAGATGCAGAGTGGGTGGGTTAATATTTTGAACAGCCTGGCTGATCAAGCACATCAATGGGAATAAATTCCTGTGCAGAAAGCCAGGATGCTCACTAACCTTTATAATCTGTTTTTTGCCAAAAGAGCATATGTTTTGTGCAGAACAGAAGCCAGCACAAAGCATTTTTCTCTGGCTGCGTGTGTGATTTTGGTGATAGAAATGTAGTTGCTCGAAATTAAAATCCCGTTCATCCTGCATGGGAGTCCTCAGTCTGCTTGAAGAGATGGGGCTTTGCAAAGCAATCTGAGTCATTTTTTGGAGATACAGGCAGATCTATACAAGCACTTCCATTCTGGAAAGATAACTGTTCATAGATACGAGGAAGTATATGTGTTAAATAGTCTTTTAGTTCCAGATCACAAATTATAAGCCCCATGATAAAAAAATTTGTAAACACCAGGTTATTTTTGCCATGGAGGAGATTAAAAAAAGCAGTAGGAATGGCTGGTATGTTTTGTTGTTGGGGCAGTGGGGGTTGGATAGTGAGGACAATTTTATGCATAGTTTAGGGAGAAAACTGCTGAATGTTACTTTTGCTCTCTGTTGTCATTAGGGGACTTGTATATTCATACAAACACTGCTGGGATTTTCAATATTTCTTTTTGCTATCTTAGCGACAAGATTGCAGAACTTTAAAATACAGTAGCAAAGCTCTTGTTACCCAAGTTCTTAGGGTTAATATCCGTGGAAAACATGAGGTTTGCCAATTAGGTGTTTCATCCCTACTGAATGATGACTGTGCTTTCCTTAAGTCACAACAGTTGAGGCTGCCATGCAGTGACAAGACCTGGGCTTCCCTTCAGTGTTATTTAATGTTTCACTTTGACATTATGTAAATACTCTGCTATTAGGGAATAAAATGACATAAAATTGCATCCTTTCTCAACAAGGTTTAAAGTTCTTTCTGTAGCTTCTCTCCTTTTTGAAGCTGTAATAAAGATCATAATTAGAATCCCAGTTGCTTAAGTGAGAAATTAATGTGTTCTTATATGCTGAGCTGAGCCAGATTCCCAGTGAGACCCCCTCCGGGTATCTGTCCTGCCCCAAAATGCTTTCCCTAATACCAATTTACGTTCTAGACATATTAAAGAAAATCATATTCATTGCTACCTAGCAGTTAATCAGAGCCTTCAGACAGGCTTGAAATAATTTGCAGCCAATTGCCAAAACCACCTGCAGCCGTCCATTTCCCTTGCCATTCCCGGGCATGCTTTAAAACTAATCAGAGTGTCAGTCCATTGCCCAGTAGTACCAGGACTGAACAAATTCATTCCATGCATGTCCTTCAAACTTAAAAATTTATCCCAAATCCTGCTTAACCCCATGGCTGACCTCCTTGCTTACTGTCTTCTGGGCTGTGGCCAAGCAAACAAAAATCTAAAGGTTTTGATCTGATGTTTTCTCTGTCAGAAATGTCTTTTCCTAAAGTTTTTTTTTTTGTTTTTTTTTAATAACTGGATGCAAATATATATACCTTGTCTATTAATATATATTTTACTATGAAAATAAGATTCTAGCAGATTGGAATAAATTAAAACCTTAATGGGGCTTAAATAAACCTAATTTGTAATTTAATTAAAAACAGAAAGCAATAAGCACTAACACTTAACAAAATAAAAAGACATTTTCGTGGTGCAAAATACAGATTTAATTTCCAAATAAGTGAATGGTAGACTGTAATTGTATCATGTGCAAGAAGACACTCAGAACATATGAAACAGTAGTCACAGATTTTGCAGTCAAGATGTTCCCTTTCTGGTTTTCCAAATAGTAGCAGAAGATACCAAAGGGTAAAACAAATAAAATACTGTCTTCATTATTGACCAAGGTGGGGATTTGGTATTGGTGGGAGATGGATTCAGGTATCTCTCTATGTCTCTGTCTTCCTCTCCTAAATGGTGAATTTTTATGTTTTGGCACATCTAGCAAGTTCTGCCTGACATGTTTCTGATGTGCTTTTGTTTCCACAGGCCAAGGCTGCAAGCACAAAGGAAGTTTGCTCAGTCCCAGCCAAACAGTCCCAGCACAACTCCAATAAAGATAGTGGAGCCGTTGTTACCCCCTCCTGCCACTCAGATTTCTGACCTCTCCAAAAGGAAGCCCAAGACAGAAGATTTTCTCACTTTCCTCTGTCTTCGAGGTAGGTGTCTGGCAGCTGCGCTGGGGCACAGTCTCATTCTCAGAAGGAGCTGTAGCACTGCACACCACAGCAGCCAGACAAATGTACTGGAGCTGCACTTGAAGGTATTGTGTGCATTTCAGCTCTCTGCAATTTGACTGTATCTGCAGCAGGAGCATTCGAGTTCATGGTTCTAAAGATCATAAAATGAGACTGGTAATAGTGCAAAAATAAAATTCTTTTATGCTTGGCTCTCTGTTACCCTGAATGGGTTTTTGTCTAGCTCTCTTAAGTCCTCCCCATCCTCCTTTGTTTTGTCTGACTGTAAACTGAAGAAGTCCTTAACTTGCCTGAGTACTTGTTCCTGCAAGAGAAAATCTGCTTGGAAATTCCCCTTCTCTACCTACTCACTGTCCTTTATTGTTCAATCTGAGTGAGGCTTTTCATCTGACAGTGGGTGGAGGGGTTGCCATTGTTCTTCTCTGCCTCAGGAGCTGGATTGTTCCTGTGGTGATAATTAGAACAGGTGAGCTCCTCCTCTCAGCAATCCAACTACAAACGAGGTATCTGAAATCGTGGAGTGAAATACTTTGAACTACCTCACAGTAACAGGTGCTTGAGCTTGGCTGGAGCTGTGGAGGTATGTCAGGGATCCATGGGCTGTGTGTCTGCAAGCCTGCACATCAGACTTGGGGGGCCTGAGTGTGAGGTACAGCTCACTGTCTAGATTAAGCTAGAGAAGGAGATGTTATTCCAGTGGTCATTTTTCTTAAGACTTTCCATGGCCCTGTGTCCCATGTCATGTACTGAAGATAGCATTATTTAGTTTAATCCCTCAATTGTCATGTTATCTCTTGCTGTAGGTGTTTCTATAGGTGCGTCCCCTGTCTTAGTCCTAAGTGCTTCCTCTGTGCTGGAATGATGCCTCTTGCTGTTGTTTTGGCCCATTACCTGCTGAAAGGGTGTGCATTTGTTACAGATAGGGCTTGTCTCCAAAAGTCTTACCTAGTGGGTTGAATCTTTCAGAGCTTGCCTTTGAGTGCCCCTTTCTTAGGTCTCTGTTGCATCTGTGGACAGCAGTGATCAACACCACCCGTAGCTTCCTGCTGAGGCTTTCTCACCTTAATGCAGTGGGATTTGATTTCTTTTTTCTTTTCCTCTGTAAGATTTTAGGCTGCAGATACTTTCAGACTGGTTGTTAATTTATCTATCTTACTTCACATCCAGTATGGAGCCTCCATCCTGTTGGGACCTCTGGTGAAGTGGGTGGGTGCAGGGGATAGAGGAGGGTGATTTGCTAGCTTTTGTGTTCGTTTAAAGGATGGAGAGGAGCAGAATCTAATGGAGTTTAAAGTGGCATCATGGTCCTCTGAAATTTAATCTGTGGAAATGTATTTCTGATTTAGTGTGGCGTGAGGTTGATCAGTCTGTTGGCAGCGTGTCACTGCTGTGATCTGGGCCAACTGCCACAGTTGTTGGTGGAAAGAGTCAGATGGGGGTTGTGTGTGTGTGTGTGTCTGTGTGTGAGCACACATGGCTGCATTCACACACTTGTTTCCACTGCTTGCTAACTAAGCATGTGTTATTTATAGCTTTGAAGGCACTCGCACTTAGAGAAAGGCAACCTGTGTGGGGGTGTCACTTATCTCCACTTCTATTTCCTATTCTCTTAGCACTCTTCTAGTGTTCTGGTTTAACAATGCAAATGGGAAGCACAGGTACTTTAGTCCTATTCCAGTGCTTCATGTTGTTGGAGTTTTTATTTATTTATTTTTTTAAATCAGTGGCTGTTTAGCTCTCGCACCTGTAATTTTCTCCTTTGTTATTCATCTGTGGCATAATTGATGTTTTGTACTGTCAATTAAGAACTTGCAATTCATTCCCAATTTCTTCAGTATGCAGGAGTACTGAACATTTCTGACAACACATGCGTTCAGGCTGCAAGATCACAATTACAATTATGTTAAAAACCACAAGGGAAAGTCTGCTCTGAGTGCCACACATGGCACATTCTTGGTCTGCTTAAACAGTCTGAAGAAAAGCAGAGAGGGAAAGCTGTCAGCTTTGTGTTTCAGCACCCCCACAAGCTTATTCCTCCATCACCCCACTATAAAACATGACAAGAACCAGTTAAAAAGAGACAGGAGAATCTTCTGGGACACCTGCTACCTGGATGCTTCTCTGTGGAGGAGTAGGAGAGCGCTGTGGCTTGGAGGGAGGAAGGGGGTTGTTCAGTCTTGAATTAGCATGGTTCTGGCTTTTGTGCCTTCAAGAGGTCCTGGCTGCCTGAGGTTGTGTCCATTTGGCCTCTGGGAATGTTAGCTCCAGTTGGGTGGCTGTCTCTTTTGATGTGTCCATTTCAAAACAAGGAGATGGAAGCTGGTTGTTAATAATGCTGGTAGGGTGTTCGTGTAGCAACGTGCTGGTACTCCAGCTCCAGAAAGGTCCCACAAGTGGCTTTCCAGGGCATTGGCAGGCTTAGTTTGGTGCTACTCTTCTGGTAGTGCCTAGTGAGCTTGGATAGGGAAGAGCCACCAAGTTACTAAGACCCTGCATAGGGAGAACTTGGGATTTTTTTGGAAGGGGTTATTTTGATTTGGAACCTCCATGCTATTATTGAAGGGTTGAGGGTTTCCGAATTGTTTGCGTGGTGGAGCAGGTGGTTGTTCTGACTTCTGTCCAGCTGTATGTGTCCAGCCTTGGTTTCTTATGCTTTCACCATGAAAACAATGTGACATGCAATTAATTGTATGGAAATAAGAGCACACTCACAGAGTTGACGTTCAGCACTTCGAAAATATTAAGCATAGTAGCGATAAGTTCCAGGACAGTAAATCCCCATGATTGTTTAATAAAAAAATTAAGTTTGGACTATCTTAGGTCCTAGTCCTTCAGAATGGTCTGGTGATACAATCCTGTATTCACAATCAAAGCCTTTTTTGGGGCAAAGGATTCTTTCCTGGATTGGTGGGAGTGCAGATCTCTGCCCTTGTCCCACCACACCCAGCAGTGGTGTCAGAAGCACAGCGTAAATTTGTCACACCATAGAATCATGAGTCACTAAGGGTGGAAAACACCTTCAAGATCACCAAGTCCAACCTCTGACTGAATTCCACCGTGAATTCACGTGTCCGCGTGTACTTCCATTTTCTGTTTTTAAACAGAGGGATTTAAACATCCTGTCACCGCTACACTACTCATTGTGCTTGTTGGGCTTATTTTGAGTGGGAGCAGCTTAATTCCATCAGTGAAGGAGCAACGCTATCATGCTACAGTGTGGAAGAAAGGCTCTTGACATGCATAAGATCCCATAGTTAGGAGAAGTCCCATTTACCTATCCTGCTGTGTGTAAGAAAATGTAATGATTCAAATAATTTTACATCCTCCCCCCCCCATTAGCACCCTGTAATTTCAAAGGGAAATAATTTAACCAAGATGACCTGCGTGGTTTCATTATCCAGAACACTAAGGCTTTAGACATATTTTAATTAGTTTGTTTTTCAAACTCTTGATTTGATAATACACTGTACTAATTACTTCTTAAAAGGTAAGTGGAGCACAATGAAAAAGCTGTAACAGTTGATGAATATCTGAGCAACCTGGAATACATTTCTAGACTGACCAAACTTGGCAAGGCTCCTCTGCTTTCTATTATTTTAAAATCCTCCTTTTAAAACGGTTGGTGTTTTCTTTTAATTTTATTAAATTGTGACCTAGAATTTTCAACACAAGGAGGAGAATAGTACAGATATCTCTGAAGTGTTTGTCTGCAGTGTTCTTATCTTTAAATAGCTTCTTTGAAGGAGCCCGTGTGCCCTTTGCCAGAGGCATAATTAGTATCTTTCAGCAGCGCGTAGATACGAGCGTGTCATCTACGTGTGGTTGTACAACAGTTCTCACTTTTACTGTGTTTTCTGCCTGTGATCATATTCTTCCTAATAGCTCCTGTTACAATGCATTTAAGTTACCTTTGCTCCCTGTAATTATTTACAGGTTGAAATACTGTGAGTCAAATATCAGGCTAAAGGAGGAAGGAAAAACAACTCCCTGTGAGCAAGAGATCTTTGGCAGAAGGTGATAACAGGAAGGCTATGATTAGGAGAGTACATTTTAAGAAGTTTTCCCATGATCAATTTTTTAATTAAGCTGAGCCTCTGGGAGTTACATGCTAGAGAATTTCAGGGATTCCTAAATAAAAATGGTTTAATTGAGATCTCACAAATTGAGTTTTCAGGCTCTTATATTCTGCAAGACGTGTGATTGTTCTTTTTCTTTGATTGCTATGCTGACTTAATAATCTGATGATTTATTATGATTGGGCAAAATCAAAATAGAAAATTTCACTGTAGCATGTTTGTCTGAACCTCACTAACTTCTAACTTTCAGTGCAGTGTGCTCTTAAACAGGTTTTTTATTCTTCTAAACACTTGTATTTGGGTGGTAAAAAGGGCTAGGGGCCTTTGATCAGAGTCTTTTTTGAGTCCTGATAGGAGAGGTTGACTGTGTCAGTTTATACCTACAGAGATTTTGAATTACAATGGAAGAGTCCCCAGAACCAAAATGTGGGAGTTTGAAACGTTTGAAAACAACTGTTAATTTACCTATCTTTCAGCAAGGCAAAAGGTATGTTTGCCTGTTGGTTTGGTGTCAGTAGGTTCTGTAGTCAATGTGTGCTGTACTTGGAGAGCTGCTGACTTGTGCTGGTCACATTCTTGAAGCATCAGCCGTTGGCACCTTGGAGACTTGCTCACCATATCAGAGTAAGCAGATTGAATAGCACAGCAACTTGATTAGGCTGGAAACAAAGCAATGAAATGGAAACAAAGTCCAAAAGTATGAGCTTCTTTGCAGTCTGGGTTAGTTTTTATAATTCCAAAATAATAATAAAAAATGCAGACATACAATAATTTGTTTGAAATGCTGGAAGAAATTTTTTTAATTGATTTTGTTATTATATCATTTAGTATATGAAATTAAAATTTTAAGATGGATTGAAAATTCAGGAATAAACTTTAGAGAGC